GTCAAGCTTCTGACATGACCTCAGGGTTCAACTCAGCCACACTGCTGTAAAAGTGCTATTCTGGCAGGTATTAACACAGCACCATCACTATGTCAGGCACCAAAGAACAGGTTTCTGTCAAAATGCTCAGCATAATGGGTAAGAGCTGAATTTATTTGCAAAAAAAGTCCTGCAGATTTGGGAGCAGTACATGGAAGGAACATTTTACCAACTTGAAACGAAAATTGTTCAATGTAGAAAAGAGCTCCCAGGTTGTAATTTGTTATAATTAAAGCAGATGAGGTTGATACTGGAAAGAGGCAAGCCAATTAATTTTGGATGTCAATTTTTGTTTGCCACTGTCAAAGTCTGTTAAAGGAACTTGATAGATTTCTGCGTTGGCTTTTTCCACCAGATAATCCCCACATGAAAGACAAGCAGGCAGCTGGGTGCAGAGAAGAACATAGCAGTTGGCAATGAAAATAGGCTGCACCTGCCAATGTGGTGCTCGCTGGTGGCAAAGGTGTTGAAATTCCTGAGCTGTGAACAACTGGATAGAGAGGTGAAACTCAAGATTCAAACACAGAACGGATCTCTGCACAGCTGCTGCTAACAAAGAAAGCCTGCACTCCATGTTGCTTGAAAGAGACAAGCCACCAGTTGTTTGGGCTGAAATCTGCCATTTTTGGGGAAGGACTACAGGTTTTTGGGTGGCTCAATTATCTGTTCTCAGGTTTTAAACAAGGGAAGGTATTCTTGTCGCATGCGAAACAGCAACCATACTCCTGGCTTCAAACTCTGATATCCTTATTAATACATGGTAAATACCATCTTCTTAATACCATCTTCAGCACACCTTCAGAAAGCAGGTGTTAAATAAAACTAGGCGTAAATCCCAGGTTTCAACTGGTAGGGTTCTATTGAAAAGTACTTATAGTAGTTAATGACATATCCTAGCACTGTAAAAACCATTAAGGAAATAGAGGTATGAACTGTTTCATTTTAGAAAGCTCCTTCAGACCATGACTGAACTTCAAAAAAATATTAATTTCAATGTGGGTTTTTCTGGTAAAAAAACTCTGTGGATTGGAGAGAGCTGAGGACATCAGCCCTACTAATAATTTCTGCAGCAACACCAGAAATTTTAACACACAATCTCTATACCAGGCAAAAACCTGTCTATTTCTCAATATAGTTCCGGTTTTCAGGTCCTGAAGACATTGGCTACTCTTTTACCAGATTGCTGGTATTTGACTCAGTCCTCAGTGAACATGTAGTGCAATATTTCTGAACATTTCCAGCTTTTTTTAACAGTAAAAGTACTGTTGCAAATCTAATTATCTTCAAAATTTGAATTAAGTAGAAACTGAGGGAGAGGAAAAAAAGTCTACAACCTTGAAGACAGACCTTCAGCTGTTCTAAGGTGTTATGGCATGACTTATTAATGCCACCAGAACAGTTTATACCAGCTGATAACCTGCTCTGAGGTTTTAGGCTTGTCAGCAAATTATGTTTTGCAGTACAAACTTAGACATTTCCTGAAGTTGTGTGTTACAGTTAAGCATAAGAAACTATCCAAGTTTATTTTGAAAGCAAATACTTCCAGTGCAGGTGGCTGATCTGGGGCTCATGTAACACCTTACTGAAAGTATGTGTTGCAAAAGTATAAGAATTATTGCTTAGGGCTTCCTATAAAAATGTTAGCCAATATGCTCTACTGTATTGGAGGACATGGTAATTAGCATTCAAATCCATCTATTATTCTCAGGATTTTCTCCCTGAACATGTACAGATTGATTGGTACTATTTTTTGTGGCTCTGTTTAGAAAAGAACAACAGTTTCCCTTGGCATTGCAGTGTGCATTTTGGTTTGTTCTAATGAAGACAAATTCCTCTCAATCAGGATCATTCTGTTCATTAGGTGAGACAGATGGCAGACTCACTGTATTGGTAATGATTCTGAGATTTTAAGCATATTTAGGACATACTGGTCTGTGTTCCCCAGCTAAAAGTGATCGATATTTCATATGGAAGAGAAGTCAGGTTCTGCCTCTGCAGAATTTTTGTAACATGTCTACAGTTCTTCATTAGCAAGCTGAAAATCTGAAGGACCCACAGAAAGGCAGGATTTAGGTGCATTCAGCCAAATTTGTAGAACATGGTCCAGCAGATGTGTCTTGGTAGAAAATTAAATACACACTTCTGAAGCTCTACCAGAACAATGTGAATTTCTGCAACCAGCAGGGATGCAGTGTTCCTTCCTTTTCCTCCTGCCTGGTCCTGAGGATGGCACTGAGTCCAGTTGGAGGCCTTCAGTCTGCCAGCCGTTAGTAATTAATGCTGGGAAATTAATGCTGAAATGTAAAGCTGAAGTGGGAACTACACTGATCACAGGAAATGATCATGTTAGATGCCCATATTCTGCACCCTCACTGTAGTAAGAAAGCTGAAACAAGGCAGCTTCTGGAAACTGTGATACACTGAACCATGCTCACATATCCCGAGTTCTGGAGCCATCACAAACACAGAGGGCCACAGGCACTGGCTAGGTAGGCATCATCACAGTTTAAGGCATCATGTAAAGAAATGAAATAATCTGTCTTGCTAAGCAGAAGTAAAATATTACTGAATAGATAAAAATGTTTTCGCCTTATTAAAATATTACCACTATGAAGCAATTCACAGTGTAGTCCTCAGGATGCCTCAAATATATATATTATTAATACCAGTTTTCTGACAAACATACCTGTTTTTTAGTACAAAGATGAGGTCTTCAAGATAGGATAAACCTCGTACTTCACAGTAGTCTAGAATACAGAGTGCATGAGGAAACACACAAATGCATGAGGACAGGTGGCAGCATTATCTTCAGATGGAATATTCCACTTTTTGGCACAAGAAAGACATACCACTGGAGGTATATCCAGTCCTAGGAATACTAAGGAAGGGTTTCATTCAGTTGTCATTTCTCTTGACTTTGTCTTAATCCTTCACATTAAGTTTCAGGGGAGGTTAACATATGTTCAGTTTGGGTTTTCTCCAAACATCATGAGGTCTTTCACTTAAGTAGCTAAGAAACAGTTAAATGCACCACAAGAGCCTTGTCACCTAAAAATGTCAGACTCTACTTCCATTGTATTTGTTAGCATTCCCATTACAGAATGACAGAATCACAGAATCTTCGAGGTTGGAAATTATCTCGAAAAATCATCCAGTCCAACCCCCCTGCCAGAGCAGGATCACCTAGAGCACATCACACAGGAACACATCCAGGCAGGTTTTGAATTTCTTCAGAGAAGGAGACTCCACAACCTCTCTGGGCAGCCTGTTCCAGGGCTCTGTCACTCTCACAGTAGACAAGTTTTTTTCTGATATTTACATAGAACCTCCTATGCTTCAGTCTGCACCCATTGCCCCTTGTCCCATCACTAGACATCACTGCAAAAAGCCTGGCTCTGTCCTCCTGAGACTCACCCTTAACATATTTGTAAACTTTGATGAGGTCGCTCCTCAATTTCCTCTTCTCCAAGCTCAAGAGACCCAGCTCCCTCAGCCTTTCCTCATAAGGGAGATGTTCCACTCCCTTCATCAACTTTGTGGCTCTGCCCTAGACTCTTTCAAGCAGTTCCCTGTCCCTCTTGAACTGAGGGGCCCAGAACTGGACACAATATTCCAGATGCGGCCTCACCAAGGCAGAATAGAGGGGGAAGAGAACCTCTCTGACCTACTAACCACACCCTTTCTAATACACTCCAGGATGCCATTGGCCTTCTTGGCTACAAGGGCACATTGCTGGCTCATGGTCATCCTCCTGTCCACCAGGACCCCCAGGTTCCTTTCTCCTACACTGCTCTCCAGCAGGTCAGCCCCTGACCTGTACTGGTACATGGAGTTGTTCTTCCACAGATGCAAGACTCTACATTTGCCCTTGTGGAATTTCATCAAGTTTCTCCGTGCCCAACCATTAGGTTGGTATCAATAAATAACATAAACAGACTTTAGAGGGGAAAGAATCAAGACAAGCCACCTTCTAGCTCTCATCTGCTCAAACTTAGAAATACATGATTCAAGAGAAGATTGCAAATTTAGGATCTAAATATTGTTGGACCAGAAATTACTGGCTGAAGACTAGGATATTAAAGAAGGAACTTAGTGGACCTCTGTTCAGCTTCTGGTGGAGAGGTGGAGATACACATATCAGAAGGAGCATCCTTCCTAACAGTCCCACCACAGAAACCTTTTAACAAGAAGGTGGAAAACCAGAAACAGCCCCAAAACAGTGATTAAGTTTCTGCTGAATGCTGAGACACGTAGACTCTGCGGAAAGAGGTAACTCTCTAGGGCATACAGCTGTGCACAGCACTTTATATAGTAATTAAGAAGAAAGAAACAAAGTGGTCTGTTAAAAAGACTGCCAGTTCCCAAGAGAAAACAGCTTTGTGTATCACTTTATGCTAGTGGTGACAGAATAGAAAACAAAATACCACAGAGTTACATACATGTTCTTTGTCTAGAAGTATTTACAAATACCTTTACAGATTTTTACACACATTTTCAGGTTTTCTTGCTTACTTTAAAATTAAGAGCAAAATTAGTCCCCAGAGGCTTCTAAGGCTTCAGCTGGTGCCTTGTACTATACATTCATGCTTGGCTTCTTCCTGGGAGAAGGGAGGAAAAGAGTTTAAAGATGTGCAAATCACAGACAACTAAAAGAGTCCAGGGTGTAAGAGCTCCTAGAAACCAACATCCAAAGAGCAGTCATCCTATTTGTCTGCAAATCAGAGACAGCTACTCATGGTGGACTCAGGGCAAAAGAGATTAGGAAGGAAGAAGGAGCCACATATGAATTGCAATAATTAGATGAGTACATTAGTGCTAGAACATCTGGATGAGAAGAGTCATAGATCAATTCCTACTGCATACAGCAGCTCAAACAAGGGAGTGGACATTCTGAATTCTAAACATAGCACTGAAACCATCTCTTGTACACGGGTAGGGTTTGACTCCTGCTGCATATTTTGGAGTCAAAATTACTGTTTACTGACAAAATCTTGACCAGGCACAGTATGAGTCTATCAGTTGAAAATACTGACTTTTTTTTTGAGAAAGACACAGCCTTCTCCTAGTTTGCACAAGTTGTTTTGTTTTCATGCCTTAACACTAAATGTTGTAAAAATATTCAAATTAAAAAAGAAAAAAAAATAGAATTTACAAGTGTCCATATAAGTAAATTATTCAAAAATTAAAAATCATCTACAAGGATCTACGAAATAACAATGCTGATAATGACACTGAGCCTTTGGGAAGAAAAATCCACATGTTGTAAGAAGTGGATAGTGGTTTTCTTCCAGGGTGTTGAGTCACAAGGTTGGTCTTTTCTTCTAAAATCTGTTTCTTCAGCTACAGCAGCAGAAGTCTTCGGTCCATATTCATTACTTACTTCGACCTATAAAGCAGAATATATTAGTTACTTACAAATTAAAACCTATTCTGTTCATCTTGTAATTTGCAATATGTAAATTCACACCAGCTCTCAGGTTAGCAGCTAATGAGTAAGTTGATAAAACACCTCTGGTCATTAATTTCCTCAGCTGTAAGACTCACATATAAGGTCAAGAGTACAAGATATAAAGCAATAGCTTTGTATCATGCGTATCACAAAGGCAAAAAACATTTGGGGAAAAATCCTGCCGGTGGTGAAACGTGTCTGAAGCTCACATACTATTAGATTATTTTTAGCATAACATATTGGAACAGTGTAAGATGAATTTTCACCAGTTCAGACATGACCTGATTACAAATGTGTATTTGAGCTGGACCCACACTAATTATAGTCCTCACCACAACAAAATGCCTGCTGAATCTATTCATTCTCACATGACTCCCTGTAAACCATGTTCCCTTGTGTAATAATGGAAAAATCTATTATGGTCTTTTGTAGAAATTTTACAGCAGATAGAGCTTCAGAAGAAGATACAAACAGGACAGGACCCATGACAGAGTGGTGACCTCTGCACAGGTGGACTTTCTCACAACACTGGATTAGTCCCATGATAGAAGCCAGCAATGTCCCCAGAAATGCTAGGGTTAACCCTAATTGGAATTAGGTATTCAGTGTCTGTCCAGACAGGGTTGCCCAAGGCTATAGTAGCACTGGATAAGACCTATTCATCCAAACAGGAACAAGGTTAACTTGTGCAAACCATTAGTATTACTACTACTAAATGATGATGATGATGATGATGATGATGATGATGATGATGATGATGATGATGATGATGATGATGATGATAAAAAACCCTGACATAAGACAAAATGCATTTTTTTTCTTCTAATCCTCACACTTCTGTGTTTTATGTGTAGCAAGCAGTACATGAAGCAATTCTAATTACTACTGAGAGATCTGATTGTTGATACTGTGCTTGAAAAAGATGAAAACACAACAGTCTTCTTTACAGTCCATGTGTTTTAGTCCCATTGAGAACATGATTATTTTTTCCACTCCCTCTGTTGTGTCCTGCCTTGCATACATCTTAATTGAAACTGTGCTCAGGGCAAAGATCCTGCTTGTCCTTCTCTGGCTGCCTCATGGAGTTATAGACAGAATGAAGAGCAAACAGATAAGCTACAATCATTCATAATTGCATTAAAAAATGCTTTTCACCAGAACAAGATCCAATTTAACCTCTTCTCAGGGGTGAAAAGGAACATTAACTTGCTAATATTTAATAATTACAGCAGCACTAAGCAGACATTATACTGAATATGAGTACTCGACACAACTAGACTTTCTTCTACATAGTTTTGATGAGGCCACAGAAACTTGTATTTTCAATTGACTATGTTTAGTTAGTTTATAAATGAAATAAAGGAAATAAAAGGCATGAGAAAAGGGCAAATATAGTCAAGCTTTCATTTAGGAAAAGCATCATTCTAATTTTTCCCATGATTGAAGTTGTAAGGGTGGCAAAAGATCTGTAACCTTTATTAAGGCTTTGACTGTATTTAACAAGCATTATTCATGTTCAATTCTAAGAGAAGAGAAAGGGAGGCTTTCACAGCCTGGGTACCAGACATCACATTTCTTATGGACTCGATGGATTCTTAGATGATATATAATTGATAACTGGTTAGCAGTTAACCCATTAAAGGAGTCAAGAAGGCTGATGTACTGCAGACAGATAAGCATCTGAAAATTTCTAGCACAATCCACTGTCTATTCAAATTGTTTCCAGAAATTTGGCTTTTAATTCAGACTTTGATCACTGATATTATTTTTCCTCCCTGCTTAGGTAAAGATCTTCTCTAGATCTTTCAGAGCATAAAACCAAAATATAAATAAAGAACAAAACACAATATAATTTGTCTTCTAGTTTTATACTTCTAGCAGCGACAAAGAGGCCAGAGATGGTCCTCTCAGCTGTACAAGAATACCCATACATGACATTTATTCTCCAGTATTGCAGCCTCATGGCAACCTCAGAATCCACTGAGCTACTTAACCAAAATCTGCTATTGAAGAACAAATTCTCAGAATCTGTGGCTTCTTTACTGCAAAACAAATGAACACCATTTGCAGGAACATATTTTTAAATATTTTGTGAAAACATCTTTTTTCCTCTCCTTTAGTTATTAGTAAGTTTGCTAAGAAAGTAGTAAACATTTATCCACCTAATAATTCAATATTAACCTGAATGCAGGTTTTGAGATTAAAATCTTTTATGGAGAGGTGTAAACACTGTAGCTGTATCTTTCTTCCTCCTGGATGCCAATTTCACTTTTTGAGCCTAGCAGCTTATTCAGAATGGCCAAAACCCCAATTTACTGCCATCTTTCCTCTCACAGAAAATGTATCAAAAGTAGCCTGTAATGAGGTATTACTGAAAATGCAGATTCCAAGGTAGAGGGTGTACTTAATGCCATGTTAAACTATTTATTATTTTTGTTTCTTTAATGTGATACTTCATCCTCTTCTGACATACACCATCATGCTCTTGAGGTAGGGCTTTTTCTCTTTTTTGGGCCTTCATAATCCTACAGTATTTGCTCACCACATATGAGTAAAATTTTGTCGATATTTATTTCTACAAGCTGACAGCTGCAGTACAAGTGAAAGATATTTTTAAAACATGCGATAATTAATAAAGTTACAAGCAAAGTTCAAGTGTCAAGTGCTGACTCAACATATTTGGTTAGCAATTGTCCAGTTTAAAATTCCTAGCACAGTTACACATGCATACAGCAGGAAAATCCTCCAAACCCATTTTAATTCTGTTTGCTGCTAAGTAAAATGTAGCAAGTAAGTCATTACATCAGTTTCAGCCAATCACCTGCATATGGGTTTCATGTTGCATTCAAGATTCATTAAAAGCCCAAAGGTAAAATTTTACAGGCAAAAAGCATCAGGGCAACAACTCACAGGCATCAAAGAAGTATTCCCAAATGAACATACTCTGTTTTAACAATAATACTTTGAAATATAATATATTAGAAGTTATCTGAGCTTCTGCCAAAATATATGTACTAGCAATGTTTCCCCGTATCTTGATTTATTCCAAATAAAATAAACAGCTACTTATCTAAAATTATTCTTTAGGTAGCAGAGTAGGAAGAGTCTATGAGATCATTTTCATGGATTTTTCATGGATTTTCATGGTGGAAGGAAATAAGTGATGACAAAGAGATGATGAACTTCTAGTGAAACTCTACAGATAGAGATATTTTAAGCTGACTAACAGATTTTCAGCAAACATTTTTATTTCAGTAGCTAGACAATTGTAAAAGCCTCTGCTTTTCTGTAAATGGGCTAATCTCATTAAGATTCATGCAGCAGCCATAAACTAGGTCTTTTCTTGCTAAAAAGTCAGCAGGGAAGCAATTCCATCCTTCACTGAGAGCCTCTCCTTGTGTTAAGCCAAAGCACGACATGGCAGATGTGGTGATATCCACTAATCCTCGCTTTAGCAGATACGTCATCAGTGACAAAGTGTCCTTACTCATATGTTTTATGTGAATTATTTTTTAATTAAGTTCTAATTAAAATATAATTAAATTATTAGTAATCTGATGCCAAAATTATTTCAAGAGAAGGTTAGCTTTCAGTCCAGTTAGAAGGATTAATGTGGTCCGTAGGACCAGAACCTTACCTACAGGCTTTACAGGCTTTAACTCAACATGTTCCTGGGGGGGCTGTCGGTAGGAGTATGTGTCAAGTCCACCTATGAAATCAACTGAAAATACAACAGTTCCAGAAATGAACAAATGGAAATGAAAATATGTCAACTGAAAAAAAACCCAAAACAACAGACAAAATATGTCTAAAAAAAATATTAGTAAGCGCATGCACAGCTTTGCATACTAGAAACAAACAAGTAGATAAAAATGCTGTGGAAGCTGATTAAAGAAGGCTCAGTGCCCTGTCTTCCTTGGGGGTCTTGTAGCCTTCTGCCTGGCAAGACAGACTACCAGCTGGCTGGCCAGATATGCACACTCCTGCCAGCATGCATGCAAAATGAACATCCCTGGATCTGCAGAGTGTAGACAGTGGGGTGACACAGCTGCTGCTCTTTAGGCCGATCTCAGCATACACTTCATAATTTGCTTTTGACTCCTTCTGAAGTTTTAAAAAATGTAGGAGGTTGAAACAATTTAGCTTGTGAACACAATTTTGCCTAAGCTCTTACAAATCAATGGATGCATGGGAATGCAACAAAACAAGGACAACCAAAGGTGTGTCCCCTGAGTTGAATCACAGAATCACAGAAACATTCCAGTTGGAAAAGACCTGTAAGATAATAAAGTCCAACACTAACCTAACTCTACCAACCATTAACTCTACCAATCCCAGTGCTTATATCATGCTCTTAAGCACCACTTCTACACAGCTTTTAAACTCCTCCAGGGATCATGATTCAACAACCTTCCTGGGCAGCCTGTTAGAGTGTTTTATTACCCTTTCAGTGAAGAATTTTCATCTAGTATCTAATCTAAACCTCTCCTGGCACAACTTGAGCCCATTTCCTCTCATGCCATATACTCAGGAGAAGAGACCATCCCCCACATTGCTACAACCTCCTTCAGGTAGTTGTAGAGAACAATAAGGTCTCCCCTCATCCTCCTTTGCTCCAGTTTAAACAACGTTAGCTTGTTCAGACGTTTCTTGTAAGACTTGTTCTCCAGATCCTGCACCAGCTTTGTTGCCCTTCTCTGGACTCACTCTAGCACCTCAATGTCCTTCTTGTGGTGAGGGGCCCCAAAACCAAACACAGTATTTGAGGTGCTGCCTCACCAGTGCCGAGTACAGGGGTACAGCCACTTCCCTAGTTCTGCTGGCTATGTTATTTTTGATACAAGCCAGGATGCTGTTGTCCTTCTTGGCCACCTGGGCACACTGCTGGCTTATATTCAGCTCGCTGTCGATCAACATCCCCAGGTCCTTTCCTCTGG